ATAATGTGTTTAGTTTGAGTTTTTTGAATTAAATTTTTTGAAAATTAAGTTTTTTGTTTTTCTTATTTTTTTTTGTTTTTAGTGAATATTTTTTAAATTTTAAACATTTTTTGTTACTTTTTTAGATGCATCTTACTTAGATGTGTCTAAAAAGTAAAATATTTTTGAAAAAATATTTTTAAAAATTAATAAATACACAAATACGAAAAATATATTGATTTTTTTTTTGGTATTTAGTGAATTTTTAAAGATTTTTTTCACAAAAATTATATTTTTTAAGTGTATTTATGTTAGATGTGTCTAAAAATTAAAAAAAATTGCTTAAAATATTAAAAAAATTTAGTAAAAATAAAAAAATATGAAAAATAAGAAAGTAGAATTTCTGAAAATTATTTTTAAAAAACTCAAACCAAACAAAGTGAAATTATTATTTTTTTCAAAAAACAAATGTAATCTAAATCCTATGGCTACAGTTGTCCGATTAATATATTTTTTTGCCAAAATGATTTGCTTAAATAGCCCTATAAGATGATGGCTCGAAAATTTTGCTCTTGGTCAAGTTACATGGTTAACACTCTGTTACAAGTTTATCAACAGATCATTCTTACAATAGTTTATAAATCAATCTTAATACGACCTTTTCTATTCTCTAGAAATTCTAAAAGGAATATTTTTCTCATTTGATTTGGATAACATTTTCTTGACATAACCAACTAGTATAGCATAGTTGACCACCATAATTCTTTTAAGGGTTAGTCTCAACGTGAAGGTCATGGGTTGAATTAGGAGATAATCACTTAGGGCCTGTTTGGTAACGTTTACGTTTTCAGTTTATATTTACAAAAATTTCATAAACTGGTTTTTGTTTATTTTTTGTTTATTTTTAGAAAAATATAAACTACAAATGCGTTTGGTTTAGACAAAATGTTTAAAAAAATTTAAAAATATAAAAAATAATGAGAAATGGCAAGTGGTGGCAGGTGGTTGGTGGAGACGAGTGGTGGCGGCGGAAGACGGTGGTGGAAAATAATGGCGAGTGGTGGTAGCGGAAGACGGTGGTAGAAAATGGTAGCAGGTGGTGGGTGATGGTGGCAGAAGACGGTGGTGGCAAGTGGCGGGTGGCGGCGGCGGCGGAAGACGGTGGTGGAAAGTGGTGACGGGTGGGTGGATGATGGTGACAGGTGGGTGGTGGATGGCAGGGGGGGGTGGGAGGGAGGGGGGAGGGGGGGGGGGGGACGAAAGCCGCCGGGGTTGAGGATAACAATGATGATGAAAGTAGTCATCGTGGGTGGGTGGTGGGTGATGGTGGTAGTGGTGGTGGTGGTGACAAGTAGGTGACAGGTAGCTGGTGGTGGCAGGTGGGTGGTGAGTGGTGGTGGCAAGTAGGTGGCGGGTGGTGGTGGCGGTTTGTGGATGGTAGTGGCGGGTGGTGGGTGATGGCGGGTGGATGGCAGGTGGGTGGTGGTGGTGGCGGCGGCGAGGGGTGGGTAGTGGTGGCGAGTGGGTGACAGGTGGGTGGTGGGTGGCAAGTGGCTGGTGGTGGCGGGTGGTAGGTGGTGAGTGGTGGTGACAGGTGGTAGTGGGGGGTAGGTGGTGGTAGCGGAAGACAGTGGTGGAAAATGGTAGCAAGTGGTGGCTAGTGTTGGGTGGTAAAAAAAAAAACCTCAAAACTCAAAACGTAAACTCATTTTTTGAGTTTATATTTTTTGGCCAAATTTATAAACTGAAACCATTGATTTATAAATCAAAAATTTACCAAATAAGTTTTTATTTGAGTTTTTAAAATTTTTGTAAATATAAACTGAAAACTGAAAACGTAAGCGTTACCAAACGACACCTTAATGTTTAAAGTGAGAAAATTAAAGTGTTGTTTGGCAAGTTAGTTTGCGGCTAAAATAGTCACAAAAGACAAAGTAGACTATTTTAGTCACAACAAACAAAACATCACATCCAACTCATAATCATTACACTATTTTCTTACAAAAAAATCAAAAAAATCAAAAAATCCTTCTCAAACCAAGCTTTTTAATCCAAGTTAAAATAGCCAAAAAAATCAAAAAATCAAAAAAGTAATCCACTTCCCAAATAGAGCTAACTCTTATGCGTTCTAAACTAATAATTAATAAGTCACTTTCAATATAGAAAAACATTTTTGGCAAAGTCCAATTCAAATAATCTTCCCATGGCCTCAATGAACAGGTGACAATACAAAATTCTTAAAGAGGCTTGATTAGACATCACTAGAGACTAATCATTTTGCATTTATGTTAAGTAGCTTGAGAGTACAACCAAGTTTTTTTTAAAATTTTTATAAAAAGAAGGAAAATGCTTCTTCGAGCAAGTTAATTAGCCATTTGTTACAGTGACTTTTTCTCTCTATCTCTGTATTTTTTGTTTATTTGTTTCTTTATAATAGTTCGAGTACAAATGTATTATATATACACTTATCAAGTTCTTTGCCAATTGTTATTCTCTAGAGTCATTTTGCATGGGGCAGAATTATTGTAGCTTATTATTTCACTGCAACTCCAAACTTAAAGCCTTATACACTCTTTTTATTTTATTTATTTATTTTTATTTTTTTGTTGCAAAAGAAAATTTATCGATGCAATACAGAATACAAGGAGTCCACAAAATTACATGAATAAAAATACAGTTAAGGCTTAATGTCGCGTCCCCTTATTTGGAAGGTTTGGTCAAATTCGATGAGATGGAGATTACAGTGAGTGATGCCCGAAACGGTGGATGGACTGCTAAATTGGTGGATTGGTGGAAGAATCTTGAGAATAAGATTTGGAAGGCTATACCATTGGCTGTGCTTTGGTCCATTTGGAAAATTAGAAATGAGTGTGTTTTTAATGGATTTGGAAAATTAGAAATGAGTGTGTTTTTAAAGGGTCGCAGCTTCAGTTGGATGATATCTGTGAACTTATAAAAGTAAGAATCTCACGTATTCGGTGCATGATGTTGTTTCAAATTTGCAGCAGATCAGGAGATCTACTTGGCTGTGCTGTGAACAGAATGTTGCTGGATGTTATGGACCAAGGTTTTTGGTTGTTATTTTGGTTGGTTTATCTCCAACGCTTGGTATTGTACTTGCAAATGGTTGGATTTGGTATTGTACTAGTTAAGAATATTAACTAGTATACCAACTAACACACCAATTAAGGTCTCGTTTGGAAATTTTTTTTTTTAGTTAAAAAGTTATTAAATTAGTTAAAAAGTCAACAACTCATGCTAAAAAGTTAAAGATTCTCTTTTCTCTTTACTTTTTGCACAACTTTTCGTAAAAAGTTAAAAAGTCATCTCAAACATACTAATTTTTTTTAATTCATATTTTAGCCAATTAACCAAAAAGTTAAATTAACTTGTTCCCAAACGAGGTCTAAATATAATAGTGGGACTAATATTAAGTGATAGAACTCACATATATATCTTATGTCTTATTTAATGTTTTAATTGATATACTAATTAATGTTTATAGTATTATTTGAATTTTATACATTAAAATGCATCTTAGTGGAATATTTACCATAAATTGGTAAGTCTCCAAATTTAGTCACATCATCAATTTTTTTATTCAATTTTAAGCCTGTGTTTGGCAAGGGCTTTTTCAGGTTTTTTTGGCTATTTTAGCCACAAAAACAAAATAGGCTATTTTAGCCATAACAAACAAAACATCACATCCAACCTATAATCATTACATTCTTCTCTCACAAAAAAAGTCAAAAAAGCCAAAAAGTCCTTCCCAAACCAAGCTTTTTAACCCAGGCCAAAATAGCCAAAAAAGCCAAAAAGCCAAAAAGCCAACCCACTTCCCAAACGGAGTAGACTCTTTTTGGTGCTTTTTTTTTTTTAATCATTATTATTCTCTATATTCTTATTTAATGTGTTAATTGATATACTAAAAGTTCGTTTGAGAAGTGTGTTAGTTTTTTTGACTATTTTAACTTAGGCTAAAAAGTTTTATTTGGGATAGGCTTTTAGCATTTTGATTTTTTGTGAGAGAAAGAATGTAACGATTATGAGTTGGATATAACATTTTGTCTTATTAAACTAAAAAGCTTATTTTATCTTTTTGTGACTAAAATAGCCCTAAAAACCCAACTCAACCCAACACAACCCAACTCAAGTTGCCAAACGAAGGCTAATTAATGTTTGTAATATTATTCGAATTTTATACATTAAAACACATCCTAGTGGAATATTTACCATAAATTGGCACTACAGGAAATGACACTTTTGGCGACCATAATATTGGTCACCAAAAGCTCCATTTTTGGTCGCTGAAACAAATTAGCTACTAATTTTTTTTGTCGCCAAAGTCGTCGCCTATGCTCTGTCGGCGATAGTATTGGCGACTAAACTATTTTTGGTCGCTGAAAGTGAACGTTTTGGCTACTAAAGTCTGGTTAGTCGGCAAAGGTTATCTTTTGGTGACTAAAATATTAGTCGCCAAAAGTGAACATTTGGCTACGAAACTCTGAGTAGTCGGGAAAGGGGATATTTGGCGACTAAATTTTTAGTCGCCAAAAGTGTTCAAATAAATTAATTTTTTTTTAGCGACTACAAATTTTAGTCGTAGATAAGTTTTAGTCGGCAACATTACTACATTTAGGAACTAAAGAATTTAGTAGCCAAAAAATTGTTTTTCATTAAATTTTATTTTTTGCTACTAACCATTTGGTCGCCGAAAGTCTTCATTTATTTTTGGCTACTAAACTATTTAGTAGCCAAAAATATTTGGGTTCTTTTTGGCTACCAAATATTTAGTGGCTAAAAACATTGATTTCCTTTTTAACTACCAATTGGTTAGTCACTAACAAATTCACTTTTTCTTTTTTGGCTACTAAACATTTACTTGCCAAAAACTTTATTTAGTGTTTTTTTTATTATAATTTATTATCCGCAACCTGTATTTATTTCGTGCAACCTGCACCCTGTATATAAACAAAATAATACATATTTCTATTTCGTTTCAACCATACAAAAATTTGGTGTTTTAACATCAAATTCTATACAAATCAAATATAATCCAACCCAAAATAATAATTCCATACAAACAGATAATCATACAAAACAGATATCCTTTGTACACAAAATTCTACATCAAATGTCATTTACATAATATTTTGAAGGTGTAAACATGATGGGAAAATTAAATTTATTTACTAAAACACTTGCTTAATTTAACAATGAAGCCATTGATCTAAAGGCTTCTCATCCTTCAAGCTTGCTTCATATAGTTTGGTACATTTCTTTCTGAAGACACCAACTGCAAAATAATAATCAACCTCCCAATCAGTGCAAGCATTTAGCAAATAAGTATAGATAATTAAACAACTTAAATAGAAAGATAATTAAATTGATGCTAACAAATCTCCCTGCTAATGAAATTAGTTTAAATTTCCTGGCATAGTTAAATGAAAACAAATACACATGTTCAGTACCAACTAAATATGAACTTTTTTTTGGATGAATAAAAATATGAACTTATAACCCATAGTGATACATAAATTAGGCAAATGCATATGTTGTGAAAAATAAACCTGAGCATTAAATTCTTACTACTACACCGCTTGCTCGGGAGAGAAATTAATGAAAATGTTCTGTGCCATCAAAAAATACCTATTACACTATCAGTCAAATGCATCAAAAAATAAATTTAAAATTCTTAATCCAATGTAAATGCTCCAAGTTCAATATGTTAGCAAGACCTCAATTTTTAAGCCTGCAAGCTCTATTCACTATGAAGAAATATAACAAACTTGTGTAGGAAATAAACATGTGAGGCTAATCAACCAAGCAAGCAAATATATGAACTATTTCAATTAACTAACTGTAATAAAAGTGACCAAAATAATTGTTAGACATAATTTTTCCAAGAAGATTAATGCAACATTAAGACTATTTACATTATAAAAAAAAAAAAAAAAAAAAAAAAAGAAGAAGAAGAAGAAGAAGAGGAATTTTTTTTTAAATGAGTTTACTGTAAAGAACTACTCTATACTATATTTTTTTTAAATTTTTTTAAATGAGTTTACTGTAAAGAACTATTCTATACTATATTTTTTTAAAAAAAATTTAAATGAGTTTACTGTAAAGAACTACTCTATCACTAGGGTAGTAGCATTTCTTATAGCACTGGAACTACTCTATAAACTTGCCTCTTGAAAACCATCGAGCAACAATGACATCAAAGCAACCTTTGTAGCGGCATGCTCTGCTTCTTTTAAAGTCCTAAAGTACCCTGGACTCTCAAAGGAATGCCCATCCATGAACAAAGGATAAAGTTGAACAACATAATACATAAAAGTGATTTTTCAACAAACGATCCATCATGTAGTCATATATATCTAAGTGCCTTGAAGCAAAATTAAAAGCACAACAGAAATGACAAGCAAGTGAATGTAGTCATACATATCTCAGCATGTATCAACTATTAAATTACTTACCAACTTTGACATCTGAAGCATTTGAATGAATCTGAGAACTCATATCTATTTCTTCAATCTCAGGTCCTTCAGCAATGGGTTTCGCATCTACAATTCAATTATGTATGTGGATTATAAATAATGATGGCGAGTAAAAATATTCAGGGCATGTCAAAGTTCTTATCCAACAAATATCATACTTTTTTTAAACTAAATTATCATCATAGGCTTCTAACTATATTTTTCACAAAGAAAAATGACCTCAAATCTCTCTGTTACCAAACATAAAGGAGAATTGGGGCATCCCAAAGAAACGAAATCATTTGTTGGCTTCAACACATAAAGGTGAGGATCATTTTCGAACTCTGCAGGGAACAAACAAATATTGTAATTAAACCCAAAGATCCAGTTGTCATGGTCTTTGAAGCAAACATTTCAAATATGAAATAATAGAACTAATATGATTAAATGTATCATCTTAGATTCATCAGAAGAAGAAATCAAAAAACAAAAAATAAAAATCAACTTAGGTGACTCAATAAACTTTCACTAATTTTTAGTTAAGTTAAGTTAAGTTTGATTGATTGATTACCAGGAGCAGAAGCAGAGCTAAACTGCTACCCTAAGCTAGACCACCCAGATTTACTAGGAGCCCACTGCAGCAAAACCAAATCAATGATACACTCTCCTACCCAAAGACAGACCAGATCAAACCAGCCAACTGGGGACAGTCCAAACTCAAACACCCATATCTCATCTACTAAATCAGCCCTAAATTTATCAATTATTTATAAGTTGGGATGAGCAAAGTGAGCCCAATACCATATTCTGATTATCACTTGAAATTTGTTGCTCTAAAAATCTAACATAACTGCATGGAATCGTACACAATCCAAGTCAATAATCAAGAACATAATTTTAAATCCTTAGTTTAATAAAACTTGGCCAAAGGAAAACATCTGAAAGTACTTGACGATAATTTCACTAAGCATATCATTACAAACAATCTCTTATTCCCAAATTCTCCTTTAGTTGCTGAGAAAGCTGTGGTAAATCCAAACATAAACAAAAAGACTAATAGTCCAATCTTATTGTTGAGTGATTTCCCAAACCCAAATTAAAATCCAAATATTTATATAGGGAATGACATGTATTCAGGTCCAAGTGATAGAAAAGACATAAACTTCCTTCATTTTCTCAGCAACCAAACAGTGGACATCCAAAAAAAGAAGAAAAACCCAATTACACCTCACCAAGATAAGGCAAAAGAATGAATCAGAATCATAGATCGGCATAAAATATAATATATAAAGAGAGAAATTTAAAAAGAGCACCTCGACAGTCCAAATGAAGAAATCAAGAGGCTCAGGAGGGCGTTCTTTGTTCATCTCCCAAATCAAGGCACAAAGAAACCTAACCTTAAAATCAAATTAAGCTTGAATAAGATCAAATGATTCCATTAAAAACAAAATCAGAAAAAACGCAACATATTTATGAATATATGAGTGATAATGGATTTACTGCGTGAGGAGGAGGTGTAATTATGGATCTGATTGTCTTCTTCTTCTTCTCCTACATTTTATGCTCAGATTACGATTTCAGAGAGAGAAACAGAGAGGGAGGTTCTTTGAACCAAAAGGCTTCACTTTTTACGCACTCTCTTGCTCTCTCTCTCTCTCTCTCTCTCTCTCTCTCTGTCACACATACACACGCACACACTGAATCTATTCATCGGCGCCGTGAGACTCCATTTGCAAAGTCCGCCGGAATCACCAGATTGGGATTGAGAAGAACATGAAGGAGAAGGGATTGAGAGATTCAGACCGCGAGAGAGAGAGAGAGAGAGAGAGAGAGAGAGAGAGAGAGAGAACATCTGCAAAGGGCTAGGGCAAATATAAAGAAAAGGAGAAAAATTAATAAAAATTAATTTTTTATTTTACATTTGCCGACTAAAGGCTTTAGTAGCCAAATGTATACAAAAATTAATTTTTTATTTTACATTTGTCGACTAAAGGCTTTAGTAGCCAAATGTAGTAGCCAAATGTATACCTACGGTGACTAAAAGTAGATTTTGTCGCTGAAAATCAACTTTTGGTGACTAAATTTTTAGTCGCCAAAGACAAAAATTAATTTTTTATTTTACATTTGCCGACTAAAGGTTTTAATAGCCAAATGTACACCTACGACGACTAAAAGTATTTTTTGTCGCCCATTTCTGGCATTTTTGCTGACTAAATTTCTTTTAGTCGCCAATTGTGATATTTTTAGCTACTAAATTTTTTTTTAGTCGCCAATTGTAATATTTTTAGCTACTAAATTTTTTTTAGTCGCCAATAATTAACATTCCCCTATGAAAAAAAATTAGTAGCTAAAAAGTTGACTTTTGCTGACTAAAATTAATTTTGGTAGCTAATTCCCACACTTTTGGCGACTAAATTTGTTTTGGTAGCCAAACATGGTCGCCAAAAATATGTTTTCTTGTAGTGTGGTAAGTCTCCAAATTTAGTAGGTGTTTGGTATGTACTAAAAAAGTGTATTTTTTTTTATATATATATATACTTATTTGGGTTATATTAATCAACATCTATCAAAATCTTTTCTCTATTTTTCTATCCACTTTTTTTTACTTTTCTACACATTTTTTTATATTTTTTTATAAAAAGTCAAAAAGTACATTTATTTAAAACATCCCAAACCACCCCTTCGTCACATCATCAATTTTTTTATTCAATTTTTTTTGATCAGCAAAAACAAAAAACTTTATTGATAAAAAAGGCACAATATATACAAAATTACATCAACAAAGTAGGAAAGTGCAAAAAATATTATAGTTAACCTCAACAATCTTAACTATGTTGACACCGCAAAACAATACAATCGTGTACAAGCACTTTAATCCAAAATTGGTGAGAGGCGAATTAAAGACACTCAAAGACAAACGGAGCAACTATACAAGAGCAAAAAAAATCAACGGCAACAACAACAGCAGCAAAATATCAGCATCAGCCGAAACCAGTGAGCAGGGAGACCACTGCACACATCTCCTATATCAAAATTTTTTTATTCAATTTTAGTAGACTTTTTTGGTGCTTCTTTTATCATTATTATTCTCTATATTTAAAAAATGTACAGCTACACGTCTTATTTAGACTTCGTTTAGAAACATATTTTTTTAGTAATTTTTTAATTTTTTAGTTAAAATATTATGTAAAAAAAATTAATATATTTGAAATATTTTTTAATTTTTTACGAAAAGATGTACAAACATAGAGAGAAAAAAAAGTCTTAAACTTTTTAGTATAGATTATCGACTTTTGATTTTTTTAATGACTTTTTAATTTTTAAATTAAAAAATGATATTGCCAAATGAGATCTTAATATATTAATTGATATACTAATTAATGTTTGTAATATTGGTGGAATTTCATACATTAAAACACATCTTAGTGGAATATTTACCATAAATTGGTGAGTCTCCAAGTTTAGTCACATCATCAATTTTTTTATTCATTTTTAGTAGACTTTTTTTGTGCTTCTTTTATCATTATTATTCTCTATATTTTAAAAATGTACAGCTGCACCTTCAATGGAGTACTTTCCACATTGACTATAATAACTGAAAATCATGAACCAACCCTCAATCCCTTGTCGGCCTTAGACTCTCTAGTGGTATCCGAAAAGCTTGGAAAATCATTAAATAATTCGATGTATTATGTGATGTTATTTATATGATATTTTTAAATTTTAATAAATAAAAATTTACAAAATAAATTGTCATTTTTTATATCAATTTCTTAACAAAAATGGCTAAAAATATTGCCTACCCTAACGTTTTTATTACATAATTACCTGGAAATAATACATGGCCTCGTTTGGCAAGTAGTAATTTTAGCTAAAAAATCAAAAATTCACTAACTTATACTAAAAAGTCAAAAATTTCATTTTCTCTCTACTTTTTGTATATCTTTTTGTAAAAAATTAAAAAGTCATCCCAAATATACTAATTTTTTTACACCATATTTTAGCCAAAAAATTAAAAAATTACTAAAAAAATATATTTTCAAATATCATATAACACTATGAAACTAGTGAATAATTGCAGATGAAATTAGTACCTAGAGTTCAATCATGCGCCCACAAGAAGGAGATAGCCCTCGTGTGTGCAAAGAGAACATTTAAAAGGTTTCTTCGACTTTTGAATACTCTCTTTTTTTGTTTAAGGAAAATCCACTAGGATCTGTAGGCCATGGTGTACTATTCCACCAAATATAGGATCAAAATTCTCTTAATAAATCTTTGAAAAATACTCGCGATCCCACCATTTTTAACCCTACAACTTTCAATTGATTTGTAGTCACATATTATATTTTTTCTTTTTCTTTTTTTTCCTCCACTCTCTTTCCTCCCTCTCTCTCACAAATGTGTGGGGGGTGCTTTCCTCCCTCTCTCTCACAAATGTGTGGGGGGTGCTGGGTCTGAATCACTTCTCTAAATTTTTTTGTAATAGTTTTTATTAAAGCTGACACAAAATTACCTTATAATTTTAATATTGTTATTTCAATTTTAGTTTGAATCCTTTTGTTATAATGAAAATATAATAAAATTATTTGAAGAAGAGGATGAGATTCTTTAACCATATCTAATGCCTTTCTTTTGTTAAATTTCTCTTCACAACAATGTTTTTAGTTTATTAGAAAAATAAACTTTATTAATAAGAATCAAGACAAATCTTGTATCATTCATCCGTAAAGTAAAAAAAAACTTGAAAGTGCTATAAACATCAAAAAAAAATCTATCCATCCCAACTAAGTTAGCACAATAGGACATGCCCAATCATTGTAGCACAGTCCATTGACAAAGGTTAAAAAGAGATCAACCATTCATCAAAACAAAAACAACCCAGAAGACCTCCCTAGATGCACTGAAGAGAGGACACAGAGAATTCACAGACTCATCACCTCAGTTTTATTCACCTTTTTTTTTTTTTCCAGCCCACAAGCCCTTGATTTACATATGTATGTACTTTCATCTATGTAGTTGTGTCATGTATGCTGGTATATATATTAAAATGTGGTGGAGATGTGATAAAGGGAGTTCATGCAGAGCGTTGGCTCCAACTTTAAATGGATCTCCGCAAGTGGGCAACATCATTGGTTTCTAGAATTAGTCGAGATATACGTAAGTTGACCCGAACACCCGATTATATAAAAAAGAAAAGAAAAGTGATAAAGGCTCTAACCTAATTATGTATCTCTTTCATCTTCCTCTCTCTCCTTTTGAACTAGGAGTAAAACATAAAAACCATAAGCACACATTACAAAAAATTTTAAAAATGAGCTAAATTATTATTTTTTTTATTCACTAAGAACTAAATTGATATAATTTAAATATTGGGACCAAAATAGCACAGACAATATATTTTGGTAAGTAAGAGCGTAATTTTTTAAGTGAATTTTATCCATATTCTTATTTTAGCAACATTTAGTAACGGAGTTAGATTAGGGATTAAATTGAAATTTTTTTTATACATTAAAAATTAAATTGACATAATTTAAATATTGCAGATTAAAATAACACAAATAAAATGTTCTGATCACTGCAATGTTTTTAAATCCAAATATGGCCCGGAGGTAGATACCATCATGATAATGGGGGTCGGTCTTAGCTTGATTACCTCAGAAAACTATGAACTCTTTTGAATAAACCAGTGGTTCATATTTGCTTTAAGGAAAGAGAAAGAGTATATTAAAAGATATTTTTAGAATAGCTGCTGACAAATGATAGATATCTCTACTTTAGTGGGCAGGCATGCCACAAATGGAGATCAAGCTCAAAGATTTTCTTTGTACATCATTATTTCATGATTTAATTTCTTCAACCACCTTAATAATGAAAGGTATTTTTGAAGAATTTAATTGTAATGTATAGGAATATCAAGAGATGAATCGGTATTACTTGGGGGTGTAATGGTATTGAGAGTATTAAACAATACGTATTAAAAATCGAGTGACACAGTCTTGAATTTATTAAAATTATTAGTCATGGAAAAGTAATTTTAATTACATATAAAAATATGTATTTTGAACTTCTCGATAAATAAACATTTTGTTTCCATTAATATACTGTATTTGATAAAGAGTCTAGCCATGATCAAGCTTCTTCAGCTACAGCTTCTTCAGATAGCTCCAGCTCCAGCTCCAGCCAGCATGCTCATGCTCAGTCGACAGCTTTATCTTTATTATCAGCACCTGCAACTGCAACTGTTAGGCAGTTACAGAGTAGTTAGGCAGTTACAGAGTAAACTAGAGTTAGTTAGTTTGTTATGAATTAGTTAGCTTGAACCAGAGTTAGTTTGTGTAGTTTATAAATACCTTCATCCATGTAATTGTATTTCAATCTGAATAATAGAAATGTTTTGATCTCTGCAAAATATCTTTTATGGTA